TAGGCATTTAAAAAAATGAGAATGACAAGCAAAGCTACACCTTAGAAAAACTCTCCCTTTTTTATAGAAGGAAACCAAACTTTTGTAAATACTTAAGATTCTTTAAGTGATAGGTAGACGAACAGTGCTTTCTTTAAAAACTCAAACTTAACAGCCTATGAACAGCACATACGAAATTAAAATACAACTTCTGGAAACTTTTATTTCTTATCTATCAGCCCAACAAGGGCATAAAATTCACAAACCCAAGTGATCCCTTCCTTTTTTGAGTTTATATCACCTGTTACCTCCCTACACTTCATCTGTGAACTAATTTATCATATGCTTTCTAATGCAAGTTACCCTAATTTCATATTTCTTTCTTTCTTCTTTTCACCCCCACAGTATTATTTGCAAAATGTCCTAGCAACAGTTGAAATGGCAGCATAATGCTGCATTGTGTTAGATAAGACGAACTGCTTATCTCAGAGCCTTCTCTGTAGAACACTGCTGAGACATTTCATACAGCAGTGCACCACAGCGCAACATGGGTGCCAATATACACCTTGCTGACAGTTTATCATTAGGCTCTTGTGAACATTATCCTGCCTACTGCAAAAATTAACCCATTACAGCTGACTAAAAAGTAAAATAAGTAAAAACTACATCGGCATAAATAATCTTTTCTATTTCTTCATACGTAGAAGTCAATCAAATAAGTGAGTTAAATTTTGATAACTTCTAAAAATCCTAGTATTCCTAGTCACTTTTCTCCTCATCAAAAAAGATTTCTTCTATGTTTCCAAAGACCAAATTAACTTAATGGGGGAGCACGACCAAAAAAATGTAATGACAGTGGCTTAAATGAAGTCTAAACACTTATCTACGCATAAATGACTCAGTCTTGAGGCCTCACCACAGTTAATTTCAGTTACAGTAATGTATTTGTCTTCATAAAAGATGCTATTGATTTCCTATCAATAAACTACATAAATTCTTTGAGATGACATCAGGATTTTAACTTGTTCCAGCTTTTCTTATGACTTTGAGATTACAGGGTAGAATTAAGGGTGGCATCTATATTATGGAAGCAAATAAAGCAAACTGACCTGTTTGGGTTAAATATCTCAACCACAGTCTCAACCTCTCAGACAACTAACTCTTGAACATCTACTTGGTGCTTGATATTCTAAAGCTGCTGAATAGTCATCGCTATACCCAACTTCAAAAAACTGAAACTTCCACAGATAAAGCATTTCTATTTTAACTCATATAAGTCTTCAAAGGAATTTAGCTGAAGTTTATTACCAATAATTCTGTTTCTCTGGATTTTTGACTAACTTCGGAAACCCATTATCTTTCGCATATAGAGCAGACAAAATGGCTTAAATGAGAACCTTCCACTGTGCCACCATGGCCACCACTGTAAACCGTAAGGGGGAAAAAAGACAATGGCTGGTGAGGAAAATGTCAGTTTCCCACTGACACTTTCTATGTTCCTAGTTATGCCACACCAGTAGCTACATCTGTCACAATCCTTGGTGTGATGCATGGAAAGTCCCTCCCACATATGCTCTAATTACCTGTGCACCACCCTAGATGCACCACCCTAATTACCTGTGGCACCAAACACTGAACCCAGAGTTCAATTATCACTGAGAATGGGAAACTCTCAATAAATAAATAACTTATATTTAAGGGCTTAACAAATTCTAAATTCTTCTAAAACATTATCTCGAGCTTCACATTATTATTATCCCAATTACACAAAATAGAAATAGACTTGTGACTCAAAAGTCACGCAGTTTTTAAGTGGCTTAGGAAGGTCAGAATTTAACCCAGATTTGCCACACACCAAAACCCATGCCCTTATTTATGCAATTCTATGAAAGTAGAATTCAAACTCAGTTCTCTCTCCTTCCCTGGAGTTTTAGAAACTTTCCCACTTATTTTATACTAAAATGACAGTGATTTCTCCCATCCCCTAAACCAGTTTCTTTTCTTATTTTCTCTTCCTCTCTTTCATATACAAAAAAAGAACCTTGACTTTCTGTTCTCGTATTCAAACTTTTCTTTTCCCCCTTATAACTCTTCCTGTTACTGCTGCAGGCATATTATCTCAAGTCAAGAGTAAATAAACTTCTCTGCCCTTGCTGATCACTGAAAGGCCTTAGCTATTGATCTAAAAGCTAGAGGACAGCTGTACATGTACAATGAGTTAGACACAGAGGCTCGCTGCTCCCCGCCTTAGGCAGCAGTGTCTGCCAAAACAGTGCATCTGGAAAGAGGAATACCAGGAATGAATGCAGCTGGACACAAGGTATTAACAAAAACTTGCATTTACCTGCTTCTTCATTTATATACAGAACTGATGAGAACCACGGTAAAATGCAAAAGCATGATATAATTTCCTATGGATTTGCTTATATAGCTTTGAAAATAATCAAAACAAACCCGTTTAATGAAGTTATTGCTGATGGCATCTCACTAAAAAGCAGATTCTATGATTTATGAGAGCCACTTCTGCCATCATTTGGAACAACAACGACATTTGGAACACACAGCTTTACTACAGATTCTGAAGCATGCATGCATGGAGCCTTTGCCTCAAATAACTAAACTTTTCTTGATGGTCTTTACCCAATGGTGTTCATTTGCTAATAATCCCAGGATCCAGGTTCTAAAATTCAGACAGTAGAAGGAATGGCACACATACAGAACCTTGAAAATTATACAACAAATATTGTTTGGTAACGAGAAAAAATAAGCAAAGAATATGTGGCGTGCACTTAGACTGAAAGAAGCAAAGATTCTTCTGTATTTGAAAAGAGACAAATAAATCATATCCCTGAGCAAATAAATTCCTTTTTACCACACAAGTACTGACCATACAAATATACCTATACATATGTGTACAGTCATATTCATTTTAAACATAACCCATGTCCTCACAATATTTCCATTTAAAAAGGGAATAAGATCATTATAATCAATACTTTTTCTGTAGTTGTTGAAATTATTCAAATAATTCAAACAAAAAAACAAAAGTATGTCTGGTAAGACGTGAGGTCCAAGAAAAAGTTATCAAGAAATCCTAAGGAACAGAACAGACATTTACAATATTTATTGAAAAAATCTCCCATACAAGTGGACCCATGTAGTTTAAGCCGATGCTGTCCGAAGTTTAATTGTATTGTGAGCTGAAAAGACTTGAAAAATAGCTACTGCGGAGAGAGGCTTTCTCTGAACTCCCATTCGTTGCCTAGATACAGATCTTCCCAATAAAACCTCAACTTATCATAAATCCCCCTCCAGGAGAATTTTACCAGGTAGATGAGATGGACTCTTACTCTGGAGAACAGACGCTGACACCACTCCCTAACTTTCACAAAGCCATACCTCCCATCTATTCTCCTAAGGGCCCATTCATCTTTCCTAAAAACCATTTACTCTCCCTTAAGTGGCCTACATCCCTTCTCTTGTTCCCTTACTAAGACAGTATGTAAATTCTCAAATCTCACCACTTTGGGGGATATTTACTTTCTTTTCTATAATATCCCCATGCACATAACATTAAAACTTAATAAACTTGGCCCTGACTGGTATGGCTCAGTGGGTTCTGTGTCATCCTGCAAGCCGAAAAGTCGCCAGTTCGATTCCTGGTCAGGTCACAATCCTGGGCTGTGGGGCAGGTACCTGGCTGGGGGCATGCAAGAAGCAACCGATCCATGTTTCGGCTCTTTGGGTTGCTCTGTACCCTGTCGCTTCCCCACCCTTGCTCAAGTGAAAACTGCCTTGCCTGAGAGATTAATGTGGTACCACCAACAACAGGATAGATTCCACAGTACAGTCACATGACTTTAGTCAAATAGTTATAATTGTACACAGGTTAGTGTAAAATCAAATGTTTTTTTAATTAATAAATTTGTACACCTTTTCTCCTGTTAATCTACCTATTATCAGTTCATTTCATAAACCCAGCTATAGAGGGTAAAGTCCTTCCTACCCTGCAGTATAAAATGTTTAATGAGGAACCCAAGATGTCTGCAATGGAGGTCTTTCATCAACTTTTTTAGATTCCTAAGGAAATAGATGTAATGAGTCAATACGTTTAGAATTATCCTTGAGGGTAATTTTTTTAATCACTACTGTTAATCTTATTTTATCCATTAAATCCAGTCTTATAATGGATATCCCCTGATCATTAAACTGCAGATTTTAAGGTGGCCCTACATGACCCTTTTAAATTTAGTGTAACTTAAAACATTTTTAAATGTAGTTTACAAATATACTCAACTAAGGCTCCATATAACAAGGAACACAGAAAATAACTGTCTATTTTCTCAATTCTTCCGAAGATGGCACATATCGAGTACCACTCTAGGTGCACAGGAGAGAAGTGAATTCACTCCATGCCAGATGCCTATGAAGGCTCCATTCTCTAGAGCAAGGGTCCCCAACCTTCAGACCCTGAGTACAGGTCTGGGCCTTTTAGGGACCGGATCACACGCAGGTGAGTTTGAATGTAATGCACCTGAATCACCCAAAACCATCCTCCCAACCCTGGTCCGTGGAAAAAGTGTCTTCCATAAAACCGGTCACTGGTGCCAAAAAGGTTGGGGCTGCTGCTCTAGTGGAGACTAATTAAGAAATCAGCAGGACCTTCCATCACCTAATGATTAAAAGTCACAAATAGGAAATGTTTGTATTTTATGCAGGTGTGGTTTCAGGGCTGTAAAAAAGCAATGTTTCCAGGAAAACAAACTCTCAAGAAAGAACATTAACATTTTTGTCTGGCAGCCTGTGTAGTTATGTACTGAAAATACGCCTAAGAGTCATTCAGAAAAAAATGGACAAGGAGTGGGGCCAGTCATGTCTTGAAACTAGAAATTCTACTAAAGATTTACCATCTTCCTATGACTTAATAAAGCACATTTATTCTATTGTATGTCAAAGCTGTAATTTCAAAATATTACAGTCACGTATATAAGAATAGAAGGTAATTTATAATTATACTTTACCTAAATATATCAATCCAAATCCTCCAGAACCAATCATCTTGCCTAGCACCCATTTATTTCCTTCCACATCATCCAGAACCTTGCCTTCTGGAAGTGGAACAGGAAGTTTGTATTTCTCCTTTCTTCTTGGTGGCATTACTTCTGCTGGCAGAAGAGGTGAGTGAGGTCAGTGATTAAAAATAAAAACATCGGTGACAAAAAATTGCAGTTAAAATACAATTCTCGAAATGTCTTCTATGGGGAACTTGCCCAGGTTTCTAGAAATTAGGATTCTGGAGTCAACTGGGTGTGGAAAAGTCCTCATATAGTCAAACTGAAGATTCACATCCATCGCAATAGTGCAATCTAAGAGGTATTGGTATTTTAAAAACAAGCCTGTTGAACTTAATTCAACATTCCAAAATTTATTTGGGGGTCTATAACACCTAGTAATAACATAAGAATAGAGTTAATAATTTCCAATGACAGAAATAACTTTTCCATGCTCCTTTCACTGAGAATGCAGTGTCAGAGATGAGGTCTTGGGTCACTAGGAAAGAATACAGCTTTGGACCAAAAAAATACAAAAGATGGCAATGTATGTGATCACCAAACAGCAAAGGACACAGTCAGTTTGTTTAAAAAGACTGGGATTTTCGTGGATTTATAATTTAGCAGCGCACTAGGCCACTGGGCAGCTTCAGACTGACACTCCTCTTTCAGCTCCTTCCGATTTTTCTATACCCTGTCCCTTTGTCACCCTCACCAAAGTGGAGACTGCTCTGTCTGCGAGGTTAACGTGGCACAGCCAACAACAAAAGCACAGACCCCACACACAGTACAGTCACTTGACTTTAATCTATTCGTTATAATTGTGCACAGGCCAGTGAAGTTCACAGTGAGAGATTTTTACATTAGAAGTGCAAATTTCTTAGGGGCCAGAGGACGGCATATATGCCTGAAACTAATTTGAAAGTGAAGGCAACTGCAATCGTGTATTTCCGAAGAATTTTGTAGTGTTGAGTGCTTCTGAACGAAAGTTAGTATAAAGGTTTTGTTGTACCATCTCCACATCTTCAGAATGAGAAAGTTTCTGTTTCTTTCTCCTTCATTTACTTTCATCCAATGCCATGCTATCATTTAACTAGCAGCAATGCCCCAGGTGGAGCAAAGGAGCCCGGCTGACATCTTTAAGGATATCCACCTGCCCTTCTCGCAACGGGGAACACAAGGGAAGCCGGGAAGTTAGATGGTGAACTAAGCCTAAAGCAGGAAAAAGTTTTGTGGTGGTGCTTCTTGACCAGTACTTTGTATATGCTGGTGTCTAGTGCATATTTGCTGATTTAAAACCTAAAGTCTCCGAAGAACAACTTTAAGAAGAGTAAAAATTTGGGGGCATCAGAACTTGAGACCTGAAATGAGACTGTAAAATGCACATCCTGGGTGCGGGTCTCGAGCCCACCTTCCCAGAGAGAAGAGGCATCCTCCTCTCTGGGTCAGTCCCCGGGTGTCCCTTCTGCTTCTGGATTTCTTCCTGGGGCTGTGAGGAAAAGTGTTCACCAAGAGCTTCCGGGGGAAAAACTGACACCCAGGGGCCTGAAAACCAGCCAGAACTCCGAGTGAGGCCGGCAAATCAGCTGAGCGCAGCCCAGCACCCGCTTCGGCCTCGGTCCGCAGCCCCCGGACCCCGGGCGGGCCGGCCCGACCCACCGCGAAGCCCGCCCGCATCTGGAGACTTACTGCCCGGCTCAAGCTCTTGGTGGACCGCAGAAAGGGAACCCGCTTCCCCGCCAGCGCTCTGGGCAAACGCGAGTTGAAGGGGGCGCCGGATCCTCGCTCTGAGTTTTGAAAAAGCAAGGAACCAACCGCGGAACCCGGCCAGCGCCTCGCCCGGGCGGCGGCTCTTCGCGGCACTGGGGCGCCGCGAGGGCGGGGCCGGCAGAGCGGCTGGGACGCGCGCACGGCTTCCCGCCGGCCCCTGGTGCCCAGGCGGGGCCGGGGGCCTCCAATCCTGCGGGGAGGCGGGCCCTGCTCCGGGTCGGCCCGCGGAAGGGACCGGATTAACTCGCAGCACCCGGGCCCGTTACTCTGGGCTCGCCGGCGCCAGCTCGCTCCCGGCCCTAGAAGGGCCCGGGCTCGCGGAGTCCGGGTGAGGCTGGTGCCTTCCTTCCTTGGGCCTGTCCACGCTGGGGGGCCGCCGGGGGGAAGAGGGAGCGGCGGTTCTAAATCGAGAATGAGAGCTATATTCTTGTCATCCACCCTCTCCCGCCAGAGTCTCAAGATCAGCCATCAGATCAATTCAGTGTGAATCAACCAGGACCAACATTTGTGTTGGTGTCATTTTGGGTCTGGTGTACCACGATCTAAGTACTGAGACCTTCTAGCTGAATCGCCAAGCCCTTAACTGGGCACTTCCCAGAAAACTAACACACTAGCCAGGCCCGCCTTGAGCAAGAAGGCTGGTGTGAGTAGGAGTGCTTATAACAGAGTGGTTAAGTTCTAAAAGGCATGTTGGCTCAAGACCAATCATTTACTAGTCGAATTATCTGTTTTTACTCTTATTTTTTAATTATGGTTTACATTCAATATTATTTTGTATTAGTTTCAGGTGTACAGCATAGTGGTTAGACAGTCATATACCTTACAGAAGTTTCTAGTACCCACCTGACACTGTAGTTATTACAATATTGTCTATATTCCCTATGCTGTACTTTACATCTTTCTGACTGTTCTGTAACTGCCAATTTGTACTTCCTAATCCCCTCACCTGTTTTCACCCAGCCACCAACACCCCACCCTCTGGCAACCATCAATCTGTTGGCTGTACCTATGAGTATGTTTCTATTTTGTTCGTTTGTTTGTTTTGTTCTTTAGATTCCACATATAAATGAAATCCTATGGCACTTTTCTTTGTCTGAGGTATTTCACTTAGTATAATACTCTCTGGGTCCTTCTATGCTGTCAAAAATGGTAAGATTTTATTCTTTTTATTGCTGAGTAGTATTCCGTCATACACATGTACCACCATTTTTTTATCCACTTCTCTATTGATAGGCACTTGGGTAGCTTCTGTACATTGTCTACTGTAAATAACGCTCAATTCACAAGTCGGATAACCTTTATTAAATGTAATTACTTGACAAAACTGCAATTTTATCTTCTGCAAAATGGAAATAACCCTAGTTATTTAGATTTTAAGGTTTGTGAACAAAAAAGAATTTCTGACACTTGTTAAAATGGTAAGGAAGGTTTTGTTCAAAATTATTGAAATAGGAGAAAGAGCTATGCTCAATTCCAAATACAACAACAGAAAGTAGGAATTTACAGCCAAGGAGCAGGGTGGGAGGACAGAAGGAGCTGGAGTAAAGGGAGGATTCTGGCTAAACTGAGCTCACAGGATTTCATGGCAAGCCAGGGTGATCAGACTGCACCAGGGGGATTGTGGAGGATGGGGACCACCATGAGAATTCAGGGTGATCAGTTATGCAAGATGGGGGATTCTGGCCAAACTGACTTAACAGGATGCTTACTAAACTTGGACAAGTATAGAAAGAACATGAAAGTCCAAAAGTCAAGGCCTAGTTGAAAAAGAGTTTATGGAAGCCTAATTAGAGTTTGGCCAAGGAAAGGATATTTATCAGGTTACAGTTATAAAGATGATTATGATAATTTATGGAGTTTCTAACACATACTAAGGACTCAGTGAGCTTATAATATTTTAGGGCAGACAAAAACAAATGCTCAGGAAGCAATTATTATATATATATATATATATATATATATATATATATATATATATATATATATCACATTTCTGTAGTCTGGGAAGTTCATTTCCCAAGGGCACCATGTCCAAATGCCATCACACTGGGTATTGGGTTTCAACATAGAATTTTAGGACATAGACATTCAGTTAGTTAAGTCCTACAGGTGGACTTTGAAAATATACCCAGAACCCCTTACTTCTCACCACCTCTACTGCTATTATTCTAGTCCAAACCATTATTTCTTTCCTGGATAATCTCAGTACCTTCCTAAATGCTATCCTATTTCCTACCCATCTATCCCTTTAGGTTTTTTTTTTTCCACAACAAACAGCCACATGATAGTTTTAAAAGCTTAAATTAATCATTTCTCTTCTCAAAACGTTTCAGTGTCATTTTACTTCACTCAGTATTAGCCAGTCCTTACTATGACCTACAATAGAATCTGTCAACCTTGGTACTATTGACATTTGGACCAGATAATTCTTTGTTATAAAGGAAAGATGGTCAAAAATTGGACTCTCCTGGGTATTGTATATTGTAGGTTACTTAACAGCACCCAGGGCCTCTCTAGCACCACCCCCCTGCAAGTGATGACAACCCAAAATGTCCTCAGATATTACCAAAATTTGAAAATTTTGCCAAATTTTTTATTGGTTGAGAATGACTTGCCTACAGTGATCTACACGTTCTGCACGTCCACCCTCCCTGCAGCCCTAACCTATTACCCTCTCCAACCATGTGTCCTTCTTGCTCTTCTTGGGACCTTTACAGTTTCCCTTCTACCTGAACCACCCTTCAATCTGGGGACTGTATGGCCTGCTCTATCACTTTCTTCAGATCTTTATTCGAAAGTCAGTGAGACCTTCCTAAACACCTTAGGTCTCCACCCAGGGATGTGTATTTTCCCTGGATTTGATTTGACTCAGGGTTGAGTGGCCTCCTATAGCAGAACATTCAACAAATAAGGTTAGAATACACACACACGCACACGCACACACACACACACACACACATATTCAGCCTTTAACTCATTCCCCTCATAATAATTATCTTGAAATTGATATAGAAGTAAATCTAAATATAAGGGCTAATTTTTTTTTTAATTTTGGAAAAAAAACCTAGGAGAAAGTTCTTATGATCTTGGATTTGGCAAATCTTTCTGATCTTTGAGTTTGTGTAATTAGAATGTACCAAAAAATGGCTGAAAGTCTAAAAGAAGAAATTGATGAATTAACTTAATCAAAATTTAAAAGGTATTGTTCTTCAAAAAGCACTGTTAAGATACCAAGTTTTGGTAAGTGTGTGGAGTAATTGGCACTCCCTTACATTGTTGGTGGAGATACAAAATGGTACAGCCACTTTGGAAAACAGTTTGTCAATTCCATATAATGTCATTCATATAAATAACATATGACCCAGCAATTTTGTTCCTAAATATTTACCCAAGAGAAATGTAGAACTATATATGTATATACAAACACTTATTGGAGGAGTAGGTAGACATACTCTGCCTCCTCACACAACCAAAAGAAGGACAACAACACATTTAAAAACAAAAATCAACCAGAACTGACAGAAAAATGGAACTGTATGGAAGTCCAACAACCAAAGAGTTAAAAAAGAGATATTCATCCAGACTGGTAGGAGGGGCAGAGATAGGCAGCCAGGCAGAATGGACTCACGGCAAGGCAGGGACTGATGAGCCAACCAGGCAAGGAGGTGGCTAGTAGAGCAGGTAGTCCCACATTTGCATGTGGATAAACTGGGAGGAACAACTGGGGAATGAGACAGATTGCACAACCCAGGTTCCAGCATGGGAGAATAAAGCCTCAAAGCCCCTGACTAAAAACACCAGTGGGGGTTGAGGCAGCAATGGGAGAAACTCCCAGCCACACAGGAGAGTTCATTGGAGAGACCCATAGGGCCCTAGAATGTACACAAAACCACCCACCCAGGAATCAGCACCAGAAGGGCCCAATTTGCTTGTGCGTAGCAAGGACAATGACTGAAGCTGGCAGAGAGCTGAACAAGCAGCATCGTTCCCTCTTGGACCTGGGTTGCCCCACCCTGGTAAACACCTCAAGCTCTACCCCTTACTACATAACAGGCATGCAGAGACCAAAAAAAAAAAAAAAAAAAAAAAATGGTCCAAATGAAAGAACAGAGCAAAGCTCCAGAAACAATACAACTGACAAAGAGTTAGTCAACCTATCAGATGCACAGTTCAAAACACTGGTAGCAGGGTGCCCACAGAATTGGTTGGATATGGTCATAAAATAGAGGAGAAAGTGAAGGCTATGAAAAGTGAAATAACGGAAAATGTACAGGGAACTGACATTGATGGGAAGAAAAGCAGGACTCAAATCAACAATTTGGACCAGCAGGAGGAAATAAATATTCAGCCAGAACAGAATGAAGAAACAAGAATGAAAAACATGAAGAGAGGCTTAGGAACCTCCAGGACAACTTTAAACACTCCAACACCCAAATCATAGGGGTGCCAGAAGGAGAAGAGGAAGAACAAGAGATTGAAACCTTATTTGAACAAATAATGAAGGAGAACTTCCTCAATCTGGCAAAGGAAATAGACTTCCAGGAAGTCTAGAAAGCTCAGACAGTCCCAAAGTAGTTCCCAAGGAGGAACACACCGAGGTACATCATAATTATATTAGCCAAGATGAAAAATAAGGAGAGAATCTTAAAAGCAGCAAAAGAAAAGGAGAGAGTTACCTACAAAGGAGTTCCCATAATGCTATCAGTTGATTTCTGAAAAGAAATCTTACAGGCAAGAAGGGGCTGGAAAGAAGTATTTCAAGTCATGAAAGGCAAGGACCTACATCCAAGATTGCTCTATCCAGCAAAGCTATCATTTAAAATGGAAGGGCAGATAAAGTGCTTCCCAGATAAGGTCAAGTTCAAGAGGTTCATCATTACCAAGCACTTATATGAAATGTTAAAGAATCTTACCTAAGAAAAAGAAGATCAAAACCATGAACATTAAAATGACAAACTCACAACTATCAACAACTGAACCTAAAAAGCAAAAACAAACTAAGTAAACAACTAGAACAGGAACAGAATCACAGAAATGGAGATCACATGGAATGAGGAGGGGGAGAAAGAGGAAAGGCACAGGGAATAAGAAGCATAATTGGTAGGTACAAAGTAGACATGGGG